ATCACAGATTACTTTTTTTTAAAAATTATGCTCTATTGTCATCCAGAATTCTTATCTGGATTGTTAATATGGAAAAGGGACAAAAACAGTTTTTGTGTCTTCTTTAGGTTTATTGTGATTATTATAAAAATATCCACAACTTAACATTTTCCAATACAAAATTTTCATGTACATAACTGACATGAATTGCATGAAATATATGTCTTTTTATTACAGTTTGAGAGACTCTCTTTGGCATTTCTTGTTAGGCATGTCTAGTCATAAAAATATTCCTTCAGCTGGGACAATTATAATGTATTAAGTTAAAAAAAAACATTATGTTTTAAAATTGGCCTACATAAAATTCTGAATTTCTGAAAAATTCAAAATTGATTTCCAGGATCCTCAGGAGAAGGCCTTGCCCATACAGAGGCCTCATTGCCTATTGACAGGCTAGATTCCACCCCTTCACTCTTAATCCTCTCAAATTGACAGATTATGTAACTACTACAACATCTGACAAGACCACAGAAGAGATCAAAAAGGTAGTACCCTTCAGAATAGCCAAGCACAAATTGAAATATCTAAGGATATACCCGATTTAAAAAAAAAAAAAAGACTTGTATGAGGAAAACTACAACACTATTACAAGAAACCGAGTGACCTCAACAAATGGTTCCCATGTCCATGAATCAGAAGACTCAATATAATAAAGATGTCCGTTCTGCCTAAGGCACTATATAAGTTTAATGCTATCCTAGTACAAATGCCATCATCTTTCTTCAAAAAGTTGGGGAAAACTGATTACCAACTTCATATGGAGAGGAAAGAAGCCCAGAATTAGCAGAGAACTCCTCAAGAAAAAGGACAAAGGGAGAGGTCTTGCTTTACCTGACTGTAGCACCTATTATACAGCCACAGTGGTCAAAGCAGTGTGGTATGGGTATAATGACCAGATTCTTAGACCAACAGAAAAGAGCTGAAAACCCAGAAATAAAATCATCAGCATACAGGCAACTAATCTTTGGTAAAGGCCCCAAAAATATCAAATTGGAAGTGAATGTCCTCTTCAGCAAGTGGTGCTGGGAAAAATGGATATCTACCTGCAGAGAAATGAAGCAAGACCCTTACCTCGCTTCAGGCACAAGAATAAACTCAAGGTGGATCACAGACCTTGAGGTATAACCCCAAACTACTTGGGCCATCAATGAGGGAATTGGGACAAATCAGAGAACTTTGGCTCAGGGAATACATAGACTATCAGAAATAGGGAAGGATACAAATACAGAGGAAGCACAAATTGACAAGTGGGATAAACTGAAGATAAAACACCTGTGTACATTGAAATAATTCACACCAAGAGTAATAAGAGAGCCCACAGACTGGGAAAACCTCTTTAGCAATGACATCAGACAAAGGAAGGCCTTTTACTAAAATCTACTATACTCTGCTAACTTACAATAAGAAAAAACTAATTGCTCACTGAGGAGGTGGGCAAAGAACCTGAACAGAAGTTCCAAATGGCCAGTACACATATGAGAAAATGTTCCCGATCATTAGCCATAAGAGAAATGGAAATTAAGATAACTATGAAATACCACCTAACACTCTCAAAGCCCAATTCAAAAAATCAGAAAGTAACAAGTGTTGGAGGGGCTGTGGGGAGATAGGAACTCTTGTCCACTGCTGGTAGACCTGTAGGTATGCACAGCCATTATGGAAATCAATTTGGCAATATCTAAAACAGATGGAAATTGAGCTACCATTTGATCCAGCAATCCCCCTAGTGGGCATATACCCAGAAAAGGTTAGAAACAAACTGAACATCTGTGTGGCAATGTTCATCGTGGTGCAGTTCACAATCTCAAGGAGTTGGAAGCAACCTAAATTTTCCTTTGTTTTATTTTGTTGTTGTTCTCTCTTGTTTTTGTGCTTATTATGGTCTCTGCATGTCTATCTAGAGAAGATAGGCGGGATAAACAATCCAGAGGAGCAAACAACAGGACTGATGGTTCCGGGGAGACATGAGAGAGGTGGAGGCAGGGGAAAGGAAGGGGGTGTCAACAAACCCAGGGACAAAGAAACAACAAGTGATATAAAATTGATGGCGAGGAAGACATAGATGACTTGTGGGGCTTGATTAAGGGCAATGTAGCCAAGAGGAAAGTAGAAGGAAATAGAGGAAAGAGCTAGGAGGCAAAGGACATTCATAGAGTTCTAAAAACAGGCATGTACATATGTAAATATATTTATATATACCAATAGGGAAATAGATCTATGTACATATATTTATATGTTAAGTATTAAGGTAGCAGGCAGACATTGGATCTCTACTCAAGTACCCCCTCAATGCAGGAACACTTTGTTCTGGTAACCCATCATTCTGTTATGCTCACCTTCCCAACACTACCACTGAAGACAAAATGGGTGCACAGCCAAATGTGGTGGAGAAAGATGATGATGCCAGGCTATCAAAAGTTATAGTGCCTGAGGTTTTAAAGGCTTGAAGTTAAATAAGCGGCTCTCTAGCAGGGAAGCAATGAAGCCCACATGGAAGCACACCAGCCTGTGTGATCACAAGGTATCAATGGGATCAGGGAATTGCCAATTGTGTACAGATGAGCTGAGGATCTCCAATAAAAAGTAAGAGCCCCAACAAAAAATTTTTTTAATGTTTTGGACTGCCAAAGAACAAGCACATTTGTTTTGGAAGAAGTATAACTAGAATAGTCCTTAGAGGCAAGAATAGGGAGACTTTGTCTCAAGTACTTTGGACATCTTGTCAGGATAGACTAGTCCCTAGAGAAAGACATCATGCAGTAACAAAGAGGAAAACCCTTGATACGATGGATTGACACCATGGTTGCCACAACGGGCTCATAGTAACACTTGTAAGGATGGAGCTGGACGGGGCAGTGTTTTGTTCTGTTGTACGTAGGGTTGCTATAAGTCAGAACTGGATAGCACCGAAAACAACTCGGTGATGATATCTATCACAGGAAGTCCACTCTATATCCCATGATTAAGCCCATTCATGCATGACTTGGGCTACAAATCCAGGTTCATTATTAGACTTAGTGTGATCAGTAAATCTGAACAAGAGACAAACATGGTCTGATAGGACCTGGATGGTATGTCCTGATTCAATAGCATGCTGGTGGTTGGAGGGGAGTACGGGAACAAGTCCAGAGAATGTGTCAATATCCAACAAATCCTCTGGATGGGATGACAAGCCCAATGTGGTTTACCTGCCAAGAAGGTCCTGATCTGTCAGTTCGGGGTTCTGTCCCTGAGTAATGTTTAGCCCCGGCAGGATCCAGCTGAAAGATGCTGTTCCTGCCTCTTCTCACTATAGTGGCAGTCCATACTTATAGGTGCAGTGTTGAATGGTTTGAATTCCAGTCAGCCAGGATCTTAGGGGCAATCAGTTCACATCTGCTTATTCTGGGCCAGAGGCTACTTTGCTCTCCATGCTTCCTTGATAAGCACCATTTGCTTGTGGGCTTCGATCTTTGTCAGCAAAGCTTCTTTCTGGTGACCATACGCATGGATAATAAGACGTTTATTAAGAGCTGACTGATTTTTATTCCAATGCCATGGCCACAAGCTTGATGTTGCTGTTAACTACCACTGAGTTTGTTCAGACTCATAGCAACTCAATGTACAACAGAAGGAAACCCTATCCAGTCCTGGGTTATCCTCACACTTGTTCTCACGTTTGAGCCTATTGTTGTAGACACTGGGTCAATCCATCTCATCCAGGGTTTTTCACTCTTCTGCTGCCCCTAGACTTTACCAAGCATCATGTTCTTCTACAGGGACTCATCTCTCCCGACAATATGTCCAAAATACACGAGAGGAGTCTGACCATTCTTGCCCCAAAGAGCATTACACAGGGAGGGTTGATTTATGTCAGTCCTCAGCTTGCCAATGATCCAATTGAACAGCCAGATCATTCGCTATAGTCCCAATCAGGTAGGCTCACTGACTTCCACCTGCCTTACCTGCAGCATTTCCATCCAAGTTGGGCGGGGGAGTTTAGTAGGAGTGCACATAGACAGTACATTAATATCTGTAACATATTCAGTAGGGGGAAACATACAGTGAAGATTTTAGAGGAGTCCCAAAGTCATGACCACAGTCTAGCTTGGGCAAAGGTCCAGATGGCAGAGACCTCAAAGAGAAAAGGGAACATTTTGTGTTTCTGTCATCTTGGTGCCAAGACCTGTGGGAATCACAGTCACCTGTGGGAACTCTTGCTATCCAAAAGTCCCCAAAAGTTCAATGCATTTGTCCTCTTTCTCTTAATTCTAAAAATTACAGAACTACTTCAGAGGCATGGTGGGTTACACAATGAGCTGTGAAATACGAGGTCGCAGTTACAACCCTGCAGTCTCTGGGAGTGAAAAAAAAAAAAGATGAAACGGCTTGGTTCTACAAAGATTTAAAATCTCAGAAACTAAAAGGGGCAAGTTCCCCTTTTCCTTTAGGGTTGCTATGAGTTGGCATCAACTCATGGCGGTGGGTTGTGCAACAACTAGTGTTTGTTTGTTTTCTCTTGAAAGCCAAGAGGTTTGGGAAAGACCACAGGGCTCTTCACCCATTTCCAAGCCCACTGGGAGTGACAAAGGGAAAGTGACAAAGAAGGTCAATTTAACATGAGCTCTGTGGGAAAGGAGGGAACAGAGATCCTGCAGAGTAGTAAGCATATCCACTGTCCCCCAGCCCCCGCCATCCTGGGGCCGAGAGCTGTGGGCCTGGCAGGAAGGTAGAGTGGGTGGTGGAGGACGAGGTGAGGACTCATGACGCTACCTTCACCCTTCTGCTCCTCTGTATGAGATCATTGGTATGTGATGACACACAACTCTCTGTGGAGAGCTTTCCCATTTGACTGAATTTAAAGCTTTTTCAATTTTGTGTTTGTGTCAAGAAAATTTAGAAACAGAGGTAAAAGTTTACCCACACTCATTACAGCTACGTGGTAACTTTCATACATGAAATCACTGATGAAACATGAGCTCTTCATTTATTTTTAAACTTTTTATTAGGATTTAAAATTTTAGAGTATATTGGTTTTCCATATATTTCATACATGGATTGCAGTCCCCAAGATGTACCAGCACTCTTCCAACTTCCGCCCTCCCTGTGTTTTTCCATTATTATTCATCCTTTTTTCCTGATCCATCTTGCTTAAGAGTTTTTATCCATAAGCAAATGCTGTCTTTTGATTTTGTTTGGTGGATTGTTCTAAGGAGTGTCTACCTCCTGGATGTTGTTCTTCCCCTGCAAGTCTGTGTTGTTGGGCTGAGAGCTGAGTCAGAGGAGAGAGTACAGTTCCAGGAGTGAAGAGTCGCTAAAGGTCATAGTCTGGGGATTCCAAGTCTCCCTCAGACCAGTAAGCCTGGTCTATTTAATGACTTTGGGTTTTGTTCCACTTTGTTCTCCCACTCGACTCATGACTCTCTTTTGTGATCCCTTTCAGAGTAATTAGCAGTGGAAGCTGGACAGCATCTAGTTCTTCTGGTCTCAGGGTCGTGGAGGCTGAGGTTTGCTGTGGTCCATTCATCCTCTGGACAAATTGTTCTCATACATCTTCTATTTTGCTCATTCTTATTTTATGGTACTTCTGTGCTGTGTCCAGGGGCAACAGAGAACATGGAGGTGGGGCAAGCACTACTTGCATCTGGGTGGGCACTCTACTGCTTGGTATAACTGTGATCCAGAAACAGCAGGTCCAGCTCTTTCAGGGACTGAAAGCTGGAAGAGCAATAAGGTACCCATGCACCCTGTGGAAGTCTGGAAGGCCCTCTCCCCACACCGGTGGGCCATGTCAGTAGAGGGACAGCAATTCAGAACCTGTGTACACACATGGTAAGTCACAATCATGTTTCTGCATTTGGCCCAGGCCGAACTCTAGTGCCTCTTCCTTTGTTTTGAAAGCTTTGTTACACTCACCCCAATAAAAGGTTTTCTTTTTGGGCATGTTCTCATGTTTGATGAGTCTTGACTTCCACATATAAGATTTTCCACATTTAATTCATTCAAAGGGCCTTTTTCCTGTGTGAAATCTCTGATGTGCTGTAAGGAAACTTTTCCAGATGAAAGCTTTACCACACTCATCACATATATTTTTTCTCCAGTATGAATTCATAGATGAGTTTTGATATTTGCTTTCTGAATGAAGGCTTACCACATTCACCAAATACATTTCTGTCCAGTATGAGTTCGCTGATGAACAGTGAGAGCAGTCTTCCTGATAAAGGCTTTTCCACATTCACCACATACATGGGGTTTCTCACCGGTATGAGTTCGCTGATGAACAGTGAGCTCATTCTTCCAGATAAAGGCCTTTCCACATTCACTACATACATGGGGTTTCTCTCCAGTATGAGTTCGCTGATGATAAGTAAAAGCAGACTTCCTGATAAATGCTTTTCCACATTCACCACATACATGGGGTTTCTCTCCGGTATGAGTTCGCTGATGAACTGTGAGGTCCTTCTTCCTGATAAAAGCTTTTCCACATTCACTACATACATGGGGTTTCTCTCCAGTATGAGTTCGCTGATGAATAGTAAGCTCGTTTTTCCTGATAAATGCTTTTCCACATTCGCCACATACATGGGGTTTCTCTCCAGTATGAGTTCGCTGATGAACAGTGAGAGTATTCTTCCTGATAAAGGCTTTTCCACATTCACCACATACATGGGGTTTTTCTTCTGTGTGAACTGTCTGATGTACTATAAGGCATTGCTTCTGACTGAAAGCTTTACCACACTCAACGCATACATAAGGTTTCTCTCCAGTATGAGTTCGCTGATGAACAGTTAGAGTATTCTTCCTGATAAAGGCTTTTCCACATTCACCACATACATGGGGTTTATCTTCTGTGTGAACTGTCTGATGTACTATAAGACATTGCTTCTGACTGAAAGCTTTACCACACTCACCGCATACATAGGGTTTTTCTCCTGTATGAGTTCGTAGATGAGTTTTGAGACGTGCTTTCCGAATGAAGCCTTTGCCGCATTCACCACATACATGAGGTTTCTCTACAGTATGAGTTCGCTGATGATCAGTGAGAGCTGTTTTCCTGATAAACGCTTTTCCACATTGACCACATACATGGGGTTTTTCTCCAGTATGAGTTCGCTGATGATAAGTGAGAGTAGACTTCCAGAAAAAGGCTTTTCCACATTCACCACATACATGGGGTTTCTCTCCAGTATGAGTTAGCTGATGAACAGTTAGTTCATTCTTTGTGATAAAGGCTTTTCCACATTCACCACACACATGGGGTTTCTCTCCAGTATGAGTTCGCTGATGAACAGTGAGAGCATTCTTCCTGCTAAAGGCTTTTCCACATTCATCACAGGCATAGGGTTTCTCTCCAGTATGAGTCTGCTGATGAACAGTGAGTGCATTCTTCCAGATAAAGGATTTTCCACATTCACCACATACATGGGATTTATCTTGTGTTTGAAATGTCTGATGTGCTATAAGGTATTTTTTCTGACTGAAAGCTTTACCACACTCACTGGATACATAGGGTTTTTCTCTTGTATGAGTTCGTAGATGAGTTTTGAGACGTGGTTTCCAAATGAAGTCTTTGCCACATTCACCACATACATGGGGTTTCTTTTCAGTATGAGTTCGCTGATGAACAGTGAGAGCAGCCTTCCAGGAAAAGGATTTTCCACATTCACCACATAAATGGGGTTTCTCTCTAGTATGAGTTTGCTGATGATCAGTGAGAACATTCTTCCAGATAAAGGTTTTTCCACACTCACCGCATACATAAGATTTTTCTCCTATACGAGTTTGTAGATGAGTTTTGAGATGTGATGTCTGAATTAAGCCTTTGCCACATCCACCACATACATGGGATTTCTCTACAGTATTAGCTCGCCAATGAGCATTGAGATCACTGTTCCTGGTGAGGCCTTTCCCACATTCACTGCATACACAGGGCATCCCTTCCACGTGAGTTTTCTGATGTTCCCTGAGGTATGCCTTACTGTGATATACTTTGCCACATTCCAAGCATTTATATGGTTTTTGTCCTTTATGAGTTTTTCGATAATGTTCATTGGGTTTGAACACTTCATCGAATTCTTGCCCACACTGATTGCACTCAAAGTCCTTCTCTAGTATATGAATGATCTGATGCTCACAGAGGAAAGACTCCTTGATGAAGGGTTTCCCACATTTATCACTTATGCATGGTTTCTCAATTTTGTCAGATTCCTGATGTTGGATGCACTGTGACTTCATGCTACTGGATTTTTCACACTCAGGCAATTTCATTTCAGCATAAAATTGCTCTTGTTCAACATGCGTAAAAGTTTTCTCATCTCCATTGAGCACAGCTGATGGCTTTATTTTGTTGCTACTGTACAGATTTAATGGCAGAATGATTAAATCTGATTTTACAATTCTTTCATGTAAGCCAAACATGTTCTGTTGATAAACAATACTTTCCAATGTATTAAACTTATAGCATTCTTCCATTCTGTCCACGCTTCTTTCATGTTGCGAGTACTCAAGTAAATGAACATCTTTCTCGATTTCTATAAAAGAACAAAACATTGAATTTTTTTATCATATTGATTTACACTGGCCCCCTTAAAATATGCATTGATACGAGGTAGATCTTTATTGACAACCCTCTTATATGAATGTAAATAAAACACTATATTTAATGTTTTTTGCTCACTGGTAGAACTACAACATGTAAACAATCAAAATTGTAATGAATTGTGGGATTATAAAGAGATTTTCCCCCAGCTTTGTCCCCCCAAAGGCATGCCAAACATTAGGGGCTTTTTGCCCACTGTATAGTGGGAGTCAGATGCTTAGAGACATCTTCCCTATAGGGGGTCAGTTGCCAGACAACTGTTTGGTCCCACCAAGGTAGGACCTGCTCCCTATTGTTAAGGATAATGGGCTACTTCTCCCTAAAGGCTTGCGACCATTAGCTTGGCTCCTGTAGGTGGGGTTCACACCCTACTGATAATGGTTTCTATGGAGATCCAGAGAACAAGCCAAACTAGCTCAGTGACATCCAAAGTAAGGCTGCCATCCTGAATCTAGGATCCGCCCTTCTTGTCACATGTATACCTCCAATCCCTTCTCTTCCTATTGCGTGTATATCCCTAGATTGTCTCCCTCTCTTTGCTGTATTATCTATAGTGCAACCCCTTCCTGTGGCATATGTCTTTACTTGTAATTAGTGGGCTTGCACTCCCCCCAAAGGTATATAGGCTTAGGTTAACAATAAAGAGCTCTCTTGGGCTCCCCTCTTGGCCTTTCATCAATACACCCTCTCCTCTCTGGTCCTCTTTCCCCTGTTCCCTTTCCCCTCATCCTCCGTCCCCTCCCCTTCTCTCCATGAAGATGATCAAGCGGGGCTGAGGTGAGCATGTTATCCATGAAATGTGTCTGACTCCATTATTTCAGTCTCTCTTTTATTTCTCATGCTTTCTATGACTTTAACATAATATTTATATATCTCAACCATACAACTGCGCCTATCAAACCCATGATTATGTGGGAGGCTAGCCCTCTCCCCACAATGAATGAACACAGATATTGTAGTTGCTTAAATACGGCCATGAAAATATACAACAAATGTAAATATAAGCAAGGTATTGAGACCAATAGACCACAGGGCAGTAAGGTTTGCTAAATCCAGTTGGTAGAGGACAGATGTATTCATTCCATCAATCTTTACTGAGAGACAACTAAGTACTAGATAAAGTTGGGAATGTGAAAAATGCAGAATGTTCTACATGGGGGAACACTATTTTTATAGGTATATAGTAAAGGCATTATAGTACACAAACATTTTTCTTATGTTTATGGAGTCTATATGCTAGCTTACACCACTCATCTTCCAGTACTGTCCAATGGTGGCTTGCATGTCGATGTGATAACAGAAGCAATGGCACACAGGACGTCAAATTCAAGTAGGATCACCCACGGCAGACAGGTCTTGGTGGAATTTCCAGAAAAATGGACTGGGAGGAAGACCTGGTGATCTACTTCTGGAACATGAACCCCTCAGGTTTAATGGCAATGAATTTAAGACTGAACAAGTACTACCTCCTGAAAGTAGAGTCAACAGTAATGATAAGAATGGAGTAAAAGGGACTTTCAGTTGGTGACATGGCATGATTCAAAATGAGAAAAATTAGTTGCAAACATCCACTAATAATTGGAAGACAGTATGAAGTATTATCAAGAAAATTTGTAAGTTTCCAAACAAAATGGAATGTTTAAAGATTGATAGTGAATGTGTTACTGAACTTAATAAACTGGTACTGGCTATTTTAAACTAGATAATCAAGTGGTTTATAAGGCTGAGCTTGACAAATTCAAGAAGACTAGTGTCATTGATTATCAAAAAGTAAATTGCAAGATCTTCCCTGAAGTATAATGCTGTGAGTGGTAGGTTAATATTCCTATGCCTGCAACTAAGATCAGTTACTACAAGTATTATTTATATTTGTGTAACAACTGTTAAAGCAAACATAAAGTGTGGGACCCAGCCTCACAGTTGAATAGATCCTTAGGAATAGTGTGTAAAATTAAGGAAGATAACGCAGACAGCAAAAACAGGGTAGAACGGCCTCATCTCTGATGCCGGAATAAGATAGTGAGGTTACTTAACAATGAGTTTATATATAGCAGGAAAGCGTGCAAGCCTCCAGAAGGCAAATACACAACAGAACAGACAAGTGTGAATGTGGGAATATCCTGAATTCTTTTAGAACACTTCAAGATAAGTATCAGGCTGTGGGAAACCGAGGACCAAGGAAAGAGTGGATGCAGACAAATTATTTTGAGAATTAAAGAACATTGCAAGGCCAGGTATCTGGGTGGAGAGACACATTCATATTTGTAAGTTGGAGAAGAGTCCCAGTCACATTATCCTAATTAAAAAGCATTGCCACAATATCCTTCATTATAGTGTTACCTTAATGATACCTTATAGAAGCACATGGCTAATTACTATCTGCCACCAGCTTTCACTACGAGAGCAGACGTGTTATTATTGTTCTCCCCACTCAGGGGACAGTTACTCCCCTCCATCTGCCTTCAGCACTGGTCTTAAGTAGCTCACCCAATGAGTTCAGGGACCTCCAAAGTAAAGATACTGCCCAACTGCCTGTGGTTAGGATGGAGTGGGGGTGAGGGCGAACTTGTGTGCTCCAAGACCATATAAATTGGTGAAAGAATACATTCTCTGTCTCTATCTTGCACAGACCTGGCATCATGGAAGAGGTGAGTGCCTGAATACTTTTGTCTGCCCTTTTATTTCTGCCCTTCAATTATACAACCATCCCTTAGGACCCATACAGAAGGCATTTAAGAGACAAAGGGGTTCCTTGAATGACAGCAACAAAGGGAACCTGATTGCTATTAAAGCTGAGAAGAGAGAAGTCAGACGCCTGTAGGAGACAGCTTTATACTAGGATCTTAATGGAGGGCAGTTGTGAAGAAAACTCTTATCTGCTGATTGTGGATTATCACCTGTATCTACATCCTTGGGACTGTGGAGGTTTTCTTCTAACACTAGTACTGGTCTTACAAACCCTGTGGTCAGGAGTATGGAGATTAGGCTGCTTACACTTTCATCCAGGTTCTGTTTTCTACAATAAACAAATTGAAGGGCGGGGAAGAGGGGAGCTGATATCAAGTTCAAGAACCAGAAAATGTTTTCAAACTGGTGGCAATTGTACAATAATGCTTGATGTGATTGAACTGTGGAATGTTATGACATCTGTAAGAGCCCCCAATAAAATGATTAAAAACAGTATTGAAAATTTCACATAACTTTTGTAGCCTGACATAGAGCAGGCATACAATCATCAACACTGATGAATGTAAAATTTGGGAACAGGATCAGTAGCTGGAAAATGTGGCCTTAGTGACAGAGATGACTCAAGAGTTTACTGATAAAATTTTGAGAGACTAACGATGAATTCACAGCAAATTCCTTATTAAACAACAGAAATGGAAACTACACATGAAGCTATTTCTGAAAGGAACTCATGAAAAACCAAATCCACCACATCTATAGAAAGAAATGATGGAGAAGCTCATTAATGAAAACAAGGCCAGGGGCTCACTGTGGAACAGATCATCAATTGCTCAAATCCAAGTTGAAGCTAGTCAAACTTGAGCTTAGAGACTATCTAAAGCAGTGGTTCTCAACCTATGGATTGCAATCCCTTTGGGAATCAAACAACCCGTTCACAGAGGTCGCCCAATTCCTAACAGTAGCAAAATTACAGTTTTAAAGTAGCAACAAAAAATATTTTATTGCTGGGGGAAGGGGTCACCACAACATGAGGAACTGTGTTAAAGGGTCATGGCATTAGGAAGGTAGAGAACCATTGATCTAAAGAATAAACGTGATGAATTGAAGATTGATGACTGAACACCAGATGGTTGTGGGATGACACCAGAACATCATATATCCGGAAATCAAAAGGCTACTGAAAAGACAGTATATAAAGAGAACAACATTGAATATACCATGTACTGTTTGAATAACAACAAAAAAAACTGGTGTTGGAATATGCACCCAAAATGATCTTTAGAGGAAAGAACTAGGAAGCAAAGGGCATTTATACAGGTCTAAATACAGGCATATACATATGTAAATGTATTTATATATGATGATAGGGAAATAGATTTATGTGCATATATTCATAGGTTTAGTATTAAGGTAGCAGAGGGACACTGGGGCCTCCACTCAAGAACTCTTTCAATGTGCAGCCGGCCCCAATCCCAACTGCGTGGACACAGGGCCCTTCCCCCAGAGGAATTTATTTCAGGGAACAGCACTGAATCTGCAGCTCAAGAAGAAGGACATGTCTGATTAGAGCACATGCAGGGGGGAGGAAGAGAGAATGGAGCACATCCTGGCGCAAAAAGCCTTGGGGATGATATTCCTGCTCAGAGCAGCCAATCTACAGAGAAGACCATATGGCCGGCCCCACTATGAGACATGACATCCCTCACTGACCCATAGCCCTACTGGAGACACAGTGTGGGAATTCCGCCCAATCTGATCCCACCACACAGAGGCAAAACACTAAGGGCATGGAACACAACAGCAATGGGAATAGAGAAACGGAATCCCCAGGAAATACCAAAAATAGACTTTGGGGCCAGGGCTTGGTGACACATCAGACTTAACCGGAAAATACTAAAGGCCAACAAACAGTCTTGAACTGACTACAAGCTTTTCTTTCTTGTTGTTTTGCTTTGTTTTGTTGTCGTTGGGTTGTTGTTTTGTTTTATTTTGTTGCATGGTTTTGCTCTGTCTTGTTTTTGTGCATGGTATGATCTCTGCAGATCTGTCTGAATAAGATAGGCTGGATGAACAATCTAGAGGAGAAAACAACGGGACCAATAGTTCCGGGGGGACATGGAAGAGGGGGAGGTGGGGGAAAGGAACTGGTGTTAACAAACCCAGGGACAAGGGAACAACAAGTGATCCAAATCGGTGGTTGTGGAGGGTTTAGGAGGTCTGGTAAGGCATGACCAAGGGTAATGTAACGGAAAAAATTACTGAAAGAACCCCTAATGAAGGCTGAACATGATAGTGGGACAATAGGAAAATAAAAGGAAATAGAGGAAATAACTAGAAGGCAAAGGGCATTTATAGAAGTCTAAATAAAGGCATGTACATATGTAAATATATTTATATATGAGATGGGGAAAAAGATCTATGTGCATATATTTATATGTTTAGTGTTAAGTTAGCAGATGGATATTGGGCCTCCACTCAAGTACTCCCTCAATGCAAGAGTACTTTGTTCTCTAAACTGGCATTCTATAATGCTCACCTTCCCAACACAATTGCTGAAGACAAAATGGGTGAATAAGCAAATGTGGTGAAGAAAGCTGATGGTGCCCAGCTATCAAAAGATATAGCGTCTGGGGTCTTATAGGCTTAAAGGTAAACAAGCGGCCATCTAACCCAGAAGTAACAAAGCCCACATGGAAGAAATACAACAGCCTGCGTGATCACGAGGTG